AAAGGGATTCTGTTTAACTCTTTATTTTCCATACATTAAATTTACTCAGATAAAAACATTCTAAAAATGTACAATTTTACTTTTAACAAAGTATAATAAAACATAAAAATCCCAATACCAGAATACTTGACATTTACAATTCAAAATCAAATTAGCTGAATATTAAATATTTACAAAACTATTTAAAATATTTATAAAGTTACATGCACAATTTGTAATACTAGAATTGACCGAAGTAAAAGAAATGGCTCAAATGGGAGCAGGAGTTTCCTTCATTCCTAGTGGAAAGTTATGTCCAAGAGAAGCTGTTAAATCTGCACTTGAAAACACACAGGATTTGCTTTCTGCTTCAGTACCAACGCGGCTCTTGCTTAACGTACGAAAAATTGGAAGGGAGCAAAGGGGTAGTTCCAAGGGTTTAGTCCAAGAGGCGGGGGCGGGCCCGACCGCTGACCCCCGCACGGGGCTTTCGGAGGACGGCGGGTTTTATTTTGGGGAGGAGCGTCGCTCTGCCCGATTCCACGTGAGTACCTTCGCCCCGACGCCTGCCAGCGAGGAAGAGCATGAATCAGAATTGCGGGTAATAGTAAAGTTCTAGGCTTAGACTCCTATTTTTTGGAAGTCTGGCGCTTCATTTGCCAAGATTTAATGACCGTGGGGTGAAAAAGTTTCAGGAAAAGTGGAGTGTGGCGTTCCGTGAAGGAAAAGCGCGGCGGAACTCTCCGATCCGTCCCTTTGTAAACCGAGGTTTCCCTCTTCGCTCTCCCGCCGCTCCGGCGTCGAGCCCGGCCTGTTTATTAACGCTTCCCTTGCAGACTGCCGGCGCGAGGGGGAGAGGGCCGGGAATTCCGCCCTATTTCGAGTTGTTTCCATCCCCGACGCACCCGGATGGAAAACACTTCCGAAACAGCTCCGCATGGCGCTGGCTCCCCCGAGGGAGGACTCCTCGCTAACTTCTCTGTGCCCCTGCAGGGAGATGACTTGGGATTCCCTTCCGCCTTACATTTAAAAATCACTTCTATTCCACAGTGGAAACCATCTGGAGAAACCAGTTCTTGTTATACTTTTAGGACAAAGCTAGGAATAAATAGCGTTCTTTGAAATCTCCGTCTTTCAAGGTATAAAAATAGGTTTTAAGAACTGGTTCTTTCAAAGCCAGTGAAGCTGGAACTACGATTTTAAAACAAGCTGCCTTACTTTTCAGGGGGGAAAAGATGGATTTGTGCCTTTTAAAAAAGAGATTAAGGGTTATTTTATGGAACTAAAGTGCTCTGTTCGGACTTCACCAACTTTGGTTGTTCTTGGTACAAAGCGGACGGCGTTCGCGTGCGGATCCGAAGCCCCAGCTCGCTCTGCTGTAGGGAAGGCTCTGCAACTGCTGCTGGCCCAGCAAACATTTCTCCGTTACGCTCGTGTGGCTTTCAGGTACTCGAGGCTTCTGAACTCTAAAACCAGGCTCCACCATTTAAAAACGTTACCTAAAAGTACGCATGAGCCACTTGAGGAAACATCAGCCTTAACTTTACACGAGGGAAATGATCCCGAGGAAAACTCTGAGGAAAGGAGTGAAGCAGTTTGCTGGACAGAAGTTCAGTTTTACAGTCCTTGTGTTACGGTTTTGACCCTGCGATGGGACAGGAGATGAAACTACGTGCCCAGCCTCGGGCATTAAAATAAAACGCAATGGGTGCAGAATTACTTGGTTTTGCTGTTGGGTTTTTTTTGCTATTTTGAGAAGGGTTTTAACACTTGCATGTGTGTTGAAATCCAGTTTATGTAAATACAATTCAGTTTTAAAATATTGTTTAAAAAAAAGTGTGTTGGGGGAGAGGGGGGGGAAATAATGTTAAGGTTTGGCTTTCAGCACACGTTCCAGGCCACTGGAGAGACCCTCAAAGCTGGGCGTCGTAAACGTCGCCGTGGAAAACTGCGCGTTCCCTTCAGCGTAAGACAGCACGACCGGCTGGTCCTACCAGTGGCTCGAGCTCCTTTTAAGGCAAAGTAAATGGCGTTGTCCGTTCTCGTCGCTGTCGTGGTGTCGGCCCCAAGGTTGTTCCTTCGAATACAGGCAACCTCCTCCAACGCAGGCAGAGCGAGCGGAAGCTCTTCAGCAGTGGGCGCAATCCCGCGGGTGGGGCGAGCTGGGCTGAGGATATGCAAATCTGATTTGATTTTCTTTCATTGCATAGGAATAAAAATTGACCTTTTTTTTTTTTTTTAAAAACCCAAACGTTACGCAAATTTAGATTTGGGTTTCCACGAAGCCAAATCGGCGATGAGCTGCGGATCGCTACCTGGCCTGAGTTTGGTTTCTGGCCATCTCTCGGTACCGCGCCTCTCCGGTGATGCTCACATCTCCCCGGCCAGGCCGACGGCCGCCCGCTGAGAAAGCGGGACCGAAGGGTGGCCCAGAACATCTCTTTCCTATGAAGAGGGTCCAGGAAGGTCTCGACTGTCGAGCTGCTGCGTTACCCCCTCAGGCTGGCGTTTCCCCGTCTCCTCGGGGCAGCTCCGCTCCGCTTCAACACCTCCTTCTCGGATACGAGCAAGGGAAAGTCGGCTGCGCCACTACAAATCCTGTTCATCCTGGTGCGGTTTAAACTGGTGTTAAGAATTACCTCCAAGTGTAAACAAGGCTTCAGACTTTAAAGGTGCCTTCCAAATTAAAGCACGCAAATACCTCTCTCTGTCAGACATTTTAAGGAGAAGGCCTCACCCGTTTAATGCTGTCAAAATTCCTCGGGTGAGCCACGAGGATTAGTAATCTTCTCTCAACCAGACAGGACCAAACTGTTTCAAATTAGCAGTTCAAGATTTGTTTGGCTTCCTCTCAAGTCCTAATTTAGATTTGTCACCCACAAATTATGTACGCTAAGTAGTTAACACCAAAGCTAGTCATCTACAATCTATTGCAACGAAGGAGGCTGACGAGAAATCCTTCAAAGTCTTGATAATAATGAAGTTTACTACCTTTTACATGTTTGACTTCTACCACTGCTGAATCCTGTAGCAAAAGCCTCGGGGTAGGAGTCAAAGGGGTTTTTTTTTTTTTAATATAAAGTAAAGCAAAATCTTACAAACTCTGCTGCCAGAGTTGGTGGTTTTTTTGTTGTT